GGAAAAGCATGTGAAATTAGGACACAATTTGTGAGCTGCAAGTGTATGGGTGGCCTGAAAAACCCTGCCCTTGTTTTTAATGCTTTTAGAGTAATAACGGAACTCAATAGATGGCAATTGTTTTAACACTTGAAGCAATAAATGAAGGGGAGGGTGACCAGACTTTAAGAGGCATTGTCTCAGGGCGTCTTGCAAGGAATCAAGTGGAGGAGAGACTAGAGGTGAGTCTATCCGCCCAGAGTTGTGGTAGATGAAGGCTCTTCCTGTCTTTAAAATGGGGATAAACAGAAAGGATCAGCTTACTTGGGAAGCACCATCAACCTAATGCAAGGCACCAAGGCCACTGTTCATTGTAGCACCAAGTGTAAACCCCACATATTTAGGGGCATGCAGGAATGTTTTCTGCTGTCTACGGAGAGAGGGAGAAAGAAATGGGTGTGAGTCATGTTGAATCCATTCACTTTTTTTCTGGCTGTGTTTGCAGGGGTGTGCAGGAGCTCTCAGAGCAGTCATTTCACATTCCCAAATGATCATTGAGTAACTCCTCCGGGACTTACTGTTTCCTCAGCCAGTGTTTGGGTTTCATTTCATACCCAGGTGTTTCCAAGAAAACCAGTCACGTTTTTGAAGGCGTACAGAGGACTAACATTAACATAGATAATGTTTTGAGCTGTAAAAAAAAAAAAAAAAAGGCAACAGACTGGCATGATTAGAGGCTCTTGGAAAGGGCAGCCTGCTGGACTCAGGGTACAAAACCAGAAATATCAGTGGTGTGTAGGTGAAACAATGTGTCTGGGAGAGCTGGTGTGCTGGAGGGTGTGTGAGGTGAATCTGTGAGGGGAAATTATATTAGCATATTATTAATACACTAAACAATATAATATAAATAATATATACTCTCAGTATGATCAAATAGGCCAGAAAGAGTGGTTTGGCATGCATGTTAAAAAAAAACCACACCACACCTTCCTTGAAAATATTGTTTGCCATTGTTAATTGAAATTTAGTAAAACCAGCTCATTATCAAGAGCTTCAGAACAGGTTTTAAAATACTGGATCATCAGATTCAAGAAAATTTATTCAAGAAACTCCCAGTTTTAAGATATGGATTCAGTGCTACACTCTCTTATTTCAGAGAGTGAGGTTTGTATTTTGATTATGAAATGAGCGAGATTCTAAGGAGTCTCTGGATTTGAAATGGAGTCTATATCCCTTTTTGCAAATAACAAAATAGCTGCTTCTCTGCATTGGTCAGAGTAATGATTTTAGAATACTTCAAGTCTTCTGAAATGTGGATAGGAATTTAGGATTTTCTATGGAGTTATTTTTCACTGTTGTTCACTCAAAATTATATATGAGTATTGATTTGCTAGTTTTTAAATTACTGGTAAAAAACCAGGGGTTAAAAAGACAGTGTACCATATGCAGAACTTTCCATGCATGTACAGTTTTTTAAAAAGTAAGTCTTTCCAGTCCAAAAATGTTAAATGTATCATGATGATGCTCAGATATAGAACATTCTAGGTACTTTACATTATAGGTACTTTATTTTTTTTACATCCAGCATCAGATGTTAACAGCAAAATATCTGTTGATGACAGAGGAGGTGCTAGCATCTTAGGGACATTTCTGTAATGTGCAGTTGTAGTCTTCTGGATTGGAATTGAGTGAGTTAACCACCTTTTCATCTATGGAAATACTGCGGCAAGGCTTCAGTTCTAAGCTCTTATTAAGCTAATTGCATCTTCCCACCTTAACACGTAAGAATGTCATTACCAAAGCACAGCAAAAGGGATTGCTGTTTATTTCCTGGTAATATTTATAACTGGTTGACTCGAACCACTTAGATGGTTCATTTCTTTGGAATTCAGTAGGTGCTTGTAGGATGTAAAAATGCTTTGTCCAATTAGAGCAGAAACTTCAGGCAAAGTGCACTAGGTTAGCAAAATGAGGTAGACAGTAACCTTTTTTGTTTGTTAATGAAGTGAATGTTTCATCAGGCTACTGATGAACGTGTGCTCTAATTGTCTTGGCCGGGAACAAGGAATTCTGGCCTATATCATGTCTTTAAAAAAATTCCTTCAGCATTGTCATAAATTGATAGGAAATATTTTTTCCTCACATTACTTGTAGTATGTCAACAAGTATGCAAATGTGAAAATTTAATATATGTCTGCTTGCTGCTTTTACTTGGTTTCTCACACCAGTTTAATGATTAAAAACTGTCTTCTAAAATGTCACTTCAAAACCCAGTCCTTTATTGTCAAAGACCACCTCACAGTTATTTTCTGCCCAGATGTTAAGTAGTTTATTCATTTCTTCATTTTACACATTTGAAATGTAGCCTGGTTTTTATCTTATTCTGGTCTGACCCTGTAGTTAGTGTATCTGGTATTCCTCCTTGTTACACAGTGTTGCATCTTTTGGGCTGCCTTTTCTCAGAGCATCAGTTTGCATTGATCCTTTTTGCTGCAACACCGTTAAACATTAGTATCTTTCTTTTGATCTCTGTGGTAAATGCATTTATTTCTGAATGAAGCTATAACATTGTTAAATTCTGTAAAGACTTCCTGACAGCATAATAACAAGGGATGGACCAGAGATACAGATCTAATAAGACTCAATCAGGTTATTTTGTGTTGTGCCTTCTGTCTCACAGCTGTTCGTGGAAGGTGGTCCTGGCTTTCCTGGCACAGGAGGTGGGCAGTCCCCTTGCCAGCATGGGTTTTACCACAGGTGGATCAACTTGGAAGCCTACAACCCAGCATATTTATTGTTTACCTGAAATCTGTCTCGTTTACCCGCACACACACACTTACTAAACACCATTTTATTTCACTGCTAGTATGTTTAGCACAAGAGGTAAAGGGCGTATCAAAGAGTTGGAGATGTTAGAGTTACATAATGCTTAATTAGCACATTCTGTATGTTTAAGTCAAAGTTTTAGGTCTGTCTTTTTTGCAGTGTTAAAATATCTTGGATTTTTGGACCAGAGATGATGGGAACAGGGTGGGGGTGTTGGGCTGTGCTGAAGCTTTTCTGTGTTTCACAAGTAGCCTCTGGAGGCCCTGAGGTGAGAGTCACAAATCTCGCTGGCTATTACAGTCTTGTGCTGTCAGTTTTGGGCATCGTGGTGCTGTATTTGCTAAAGCTTTCAATGGATGGCAGTCTTGTGGAGGTGGTGAAAACCCCTGCAATAAACTCTGGGGTTTTGTGCTGTTTTACTTTCATTTGCAGGGCAGAAAGGATATGATCACACAAATCCTTTTATCTGGACTGCAGGCTTCATGCTTTGATAAGAAAAAAAAAAGGAGTCCCATAAGACAAATGAGGTGCTTTAAAGCATTACTGGGTATTCAGGATATCTTGGCTGTGGAAGAAAAGTGCTTCCTCTCTGCCCGTTATGTCTGTCTTAGATTTCATCTACAACCATTTATTGCTTAAAATTTGCGTGACAATCAAACTGGGAAGAATTGAGTCAACTTTTAAGAGATCCTCTCTTCCCACAGTACTCACAGAGTGCAAACTACAACCAGTCATGTTTGAATATATGTATTTGTTTTAAGTGTCAGGAAAAAAAGTACATTCTTGCTTTTGAAGTTAAACAGAGAGTAATGTGTGTGTGTGTGTGTGTATTGCACGTACAAAGTATAAACAACAAACAAAAATAATTTCTCTGGAATGCCTCTCAGGTTTTAAAATTTCACACTTAGTAGGTCACTGCAATAACTACTGCTCTGTCAGTACCATGATGACAGTGATCACATCTAGCATTGCGTGGGGTTTTGAACTGTAACAGGAAGACACATACTCTCCCTCTCTGCTGTGTGTAATTAACGGCAAGTTTGTGAATATGATAACTAAGAATGTTTCAAATAAAAATAGCCATGTATCAATAAGTGCATACAAGTACATTTTACTTAAAAGCAGTTCAGCTAATAAAGGACAGTCCCTCTCCCTCTTCCTTCTCTTTTTCTTCTTCCTCATCATCCTCTTCCTCCTCTTCTTCCTCACTTTCCTTTTTTCCCTTTTCCCTTTTCCTCCCAAAATGTTTTATAGACCAATTCCAATCAGTATTATTAAATCATTCTTTTACACAGCATTTCATTTTGAAAGACTTAGGTGCACTGACAGATGGGAGCCCCTCTAGAGAATCAGAGGAATAGGAGGTGTTATTTCTTTTGTTTTCTAATTTAAATCTTGCCTACATGGCCTGTATCAATTGGATCTGGTTGCTGTTCCTGATCCACTGTTCCTGAGCTGCTGCACGGGCCTTCCCAGCCCAGGTTGTGGTGGTTGGTTGTTCAGGGAATGAGTCCCCTTGCTGCAGTGAGATCCTTAATGCAGCTCTTTGTCCTTCCTTGGAGATGTGTCTGGAAATGGCTCTTTGGGAAGCTCCTTTGGGAGCTGTGATAGTTGTTTGTAGCTCTGTTGTCATCAGAGCACAAGTTCGAATGAATCTGAAAGCCTGTTTGCGCTTCACTTGAGAGATGTGGTGGTACTGCATTGATGCTGAGATTGCTTTTCCTGATGTAGCCTGAGGTTTGTGTGTTCTTTGGATAAACACAGGCTATTTTTCAAGTATGCTAACAACTTGACACATTCCACTTGTAAAAAAATTTGCTCTGGAAAAGTCATCAGTGTTGCTGTACGAATATCTTGTATTTACAGTAAGCATGCTCCCAGAGAGCAGTGGTGGTCGGTCAGTTGTTAGCTCACTGAGCAGTTGTCCAAATATCATTAAAAATGTTGACGTTAAGTAATTTAGGGGTCTAATAATACTTAATTAACTACTATTTAAACACCTCTGGTCAGATTGACCTACATGTCTAGTTTAAAACTTCTGGTACAGGTGATAGGTTTGACACATTCATTACATCGTGGGCTGTGGGAGGCAGTGGGGTGCACCTTGTGCAACTTGTGATAATCCTTTGTCTCTATAAAGAAGAGGAGCAACAAATGCACAGTACTAAATATTGTCCTTTCTGTTTGTTTTTCAGATTAGCGCTGTATGTATATGAATATCTGCTCCATGTAGGAGCACAGAAATCAGCCCAGACGTTTTTGTCAGAGGTACGTTTCCTTGCACGACTTCCCAGCGAGATAAACTCTATTGGGTCTAGAACAACAGTAGTGAGAACCTTGAATACCAGTTTGCCTCAACCAGCACAGGTTTCTCATTCTTTGGAAGCCAGTTTGCCGTGTCATTTTACATGACTTTGTGTAACTGCTTTTGCTATGGTTTGTTATCCCCATTCCATGTTGGGGAAAGATTAATCTATTTTCTCTAATAAATGTGCACGTTACAGAACACACCAATGGTACTCTCTTTTTATGACTTTTCAACTTACTATTGATATCTCCAGTTGTGAATGATGGGCCCTTCCAAAATACACCACCATAATGTATTCTAAATCCTACTGTCACGCAACTGTCAGTTCTCCTGTTGAGCTTCTCTCTGTACTCTTACCATGCTTTTAACCACTTCAGTTCTTTTCATCTGTCGAATCAATGTTGCCTACAACCATTTAGGTCCCGTTTTTTAAAACGTTTTCAACTGTTAATGGAATTTTTACCTTTACTTAATAAGGTTTTTTTTTTTTCATAGTCTTTCAAAGGCTTTGTATGCATCTTTTGAAGATTGAAGTAAATTATGTCTCCTTATCATTTTACATTTGACCTAGGATATAAATGTGTGCCGAACATAGTGAGGTCTTTTGGATTTATTGTTGTTTTTAATCTTTCTTTGACAGGAATATTTAAGATAATAATAACAGTTGAATAATGAGCAGAAGTCATGAAAAAAATAGGCAAGTTGTATTATGAAAATTTGCTGATTCAGCCAATCCTCCTCCAAAAGCTAATAAAATCACTATGCTGGTGATGCCATTTTGGAGGTTGAAGAGGGAAGGATGAGAACCCAGAGTGTTATTTGTGATGTTTATACAAAATTCATGGAGCAGAGATAAGGAAAAGGGGCAGAATTGTGGTAGTATCAGTTTGAGTTTATAGTAAAGTATATTTTTGACAATTTTTTTCTCTTTGGTAAAGCAGTGGAAAAATAAGAAAGAAAATAATGTATCATTTTGACTTTCCCAAAACAGCTGCCATTTGTAAATACTACATTGCACAAGATAAATTTTGCTCACTTTGTTTTTATGATGTATTTGCAAAATGAGCACTTGGCAGAAGTGTAACTGGTATGACATTTGGATTTCTAGAAAACATTAAATACAGGGTCTGTAAATGTAGCTTTTAAAACTAATTCAGTCTTGAGTTCCAAAGGAACTCCCAGGTCTGAACAGCGTAATGTGAGGATATAACAAATCTTTCAAATTAAAACTGGTACTATCCGAGAGTTACCAAATGTGGGTCAGGGACAATTAAAAGTGTATGGAGTTGATGAGAGCTGTGAGTTTATTTACCTGATTAATTAGCAGTGCAGAAGGGTAAATGTGGTGCTGACAATACTTGTGAGTGGTTGTGTGGCTGTTGGGGCTCAGTGCCCTCCTGCTCTGTCATTTTGGGTGGATTTCATTAAAGATTAAATGGTTCAGAGTAGCTCCAAAACTGAATGTATACAGCAGTCAGTGGTATGTATATATGTATAAATTACAAAGGTTAGGAGCCCTTCCTTAAAGATCTACCAGGCAGTGTGGCTCAGAGTCATGGAACCAAATTAAAGGAAAATTTAAGTTGGGTATCATGGAGTGCACTCTGATACTGGATAACTTAGAGATAGTTGTCCTGAGCATCCCTATATTTTTGTGATGCTTTGTGTATACTTTGTATTACGTACATCTCCCTTGAGGATCTGATCCTTATCCCATGTCTTGTCTATCCTGAAAGTTAGATTTTAGCCTTGGAGGAATAATTCCTTTAGCTTGGACCAGGAGGGTGGGCATTTCCCAGTTAATTATTCCCTGGCTATGAGCTTAACCAATACAGATGACAATGAGGGATTTTTTTTCTAAGGTTAATAATTCATTGTAAGTGTCTGTGGTCAGACTGACATCTGCCATGTGAGGCAAGTGTGTGAATATTTTGAAAAAACAAAACAAAAGTCCTTGAAAAGAGCCCCAAAACTTCCACATTCCCCTCAGATTCCTCCAACTCAGTTTCTCTAGGTGAAATATGTCCTAGGACGTAAGAGGAATTGGGTAATTTCCTTACTAAGCCCTGCTTTGAAGAGCACAAATACTGCTTAGACATAGGGAGGGTGTCCTACAGAAAAAATTTTTACTCCTAACTGAATCATTTTTCGACTTCAGAACCCCCTTTTCCCTTTGATTGTGCAGTGCATCTCTTCATAATGTTATTTTGGAATTTCTCAGAGTTACTGTGCATTCCAGATTATTAATACAGGTCTTTCCAAGCCATTCCCAGTGTACATGAGGAGCAGTCCTGCCTCAGATAAGTGTTTTTGAAGAATGTGTAATACCTTTGTAGTAGCTTTGGCCTTTATCTTAGATTTTTATTATTTTTTTTTTCAGCCAGCACTTAAGCAGAAGCTTTTTTAATTATGTTTTTTATATATTAGCTGCTAATGTGTGTGAGGGGGGTTGGTTCATTCTACCACCTTTACCAACACAAGTGATAGTGCCTCAAGGTTATCTTTTCAAAACAATTTAAACCAGCAAAATTATGTTTGAATAGTTGTATTCGTGTAATATATCAAAATTGTATTGGGTTTCTTCACGTGATTGTTAGATTTTCTGTATGTATTTTCTTATGAATGTGAACAATATTTTTGGGTGTATGAACAACATAGTCTTCTGCAATCTATTGACAGAACTTGTATGTGTTTAAATTTCTCAAGAACTGGATGTAGAAATCAAACTGAAGTTAAGAATCAAAGTTTTAGTCTCCTTTGGAAAATTAATAATATCAAGCTTTTATATACTTTTACATATATGTATCTTTAAATATATGTCCTATTAAGGCTGTTTAAGCATATAACCCTCCTTTTGTCTGCCACTACTTCTGTCCCTAGAGAAGAATACGGTTTGAGTTTTTAACTTTCTCTTTTTAAAAAAAAACAAACAAAACAAAACAAACAAACAAAACAAAACAAAACAAAAACAACAAAAACCAAACCAAACCAACCAACCAAACAAAAAAACCCACACCAACCAACCAACCAACCAAAACCACCAAAATTGGACAGGAAATAGTGCTGTGTGTCCTTGTAACTGGAGGAATTTGGAATGCTCACAATGCCCCAGTTTCCACCCAGTTCTGACAGACATTCTTCTGGACAGTGCGGTGTGGGCTGTGTTATAGCACAAACTACTTAATTTTGGATTTAAGGACAAGTTAATGGCTGGTGTTAATAAGATTGTGTTATTATAGTTTAGGTACAACATTTGGGAAGTCTTGCAGAACACAATCACTGCGGAAGTGTGAAGTCAAGAGTTAAGAGTTCTTAAACTGCATTTCCTTTGAAAACAGTGCTAAACAAATCAGGTTTCCTGGGTGGGAATGAAGTCACAGCCAGTATAGGCATTCAGGAGAGCTTGCCAGTACAGAAAACCAAGCCAAAAGAGCTTTACATTTTCTTTGTGTGGTGGGAGCCTGGGTTATAACTGTGATGCTACTTGTAATTTCCACATTGCCTCTGACTAAAGCACTCCTTAAGGATTATAAAATACTGGCTGGCTGTGGCTGTGGGGGGGAACACTGCCACCTGCTGAATCCGTAACACGAGTTCTGTGCAAATTGCAAAATATTCAAGATTTTAAGGGTATTTTATAATCACTTTTTTTTGGTCCTGCATTTTTCGCCTTAAAATAGCACACATTGTATTCATAACCCCTTTCCCCCCCAAAAGACAACCCCTAAAATATGCTTCCCTAGAATAAAAAAAACCCTAAATTTAAGTATCAGCTGTATCTATAGGTGTAATAAAGTAATATGGCTATCCAGATTGATGATCATAAAGCCTTTAGTAACTGTGAAAATTGTTTGTCCTTTTGATACCTGAATTATGTAGTGCCTTTTAGTCACAATGATCACAAAAATGTACATCTCTGTCTTTATTGTTTTGTTTTAGATAAGATGGGAAAAAAACATCACACTGGGGGAGCCCCCAGGATTCTTGCATTCTTGGTGGTGGTAAGTACCAATTTTCTTTTCCTCTGATGTTTTAGGATATGTTGAGTTGATTGCTGGTTCCAGCAGCTGGAGGCAAGAAATTCAGGTGAACGTAGTAAAAGGAATGGGAGGATGAGGATTAAGAACCATTTTCTTGTAAAGGAATGACATAACAGAGAATTAGATTTATCTTTAGAAAAAGATACTGATATTAGATACAGAAAAAAAAGAAATACTGCTTGTGTACTGTTAAAAAAACATCTTCTGGAGAGAATGGCCTGCATTTCTTTCTTCACCTTCCAGTAAGTTTTGCAAGTAAGGAATTATTCTGCATATCCTAAATAATTGAATTTGGGAAAAAAAAAACCCAATATACAGAACCTCTGCACAGGTGAGAACTTTCTCAGCCTACAGTCCACATTTGTGTGTGTAGAATTCTCACAGTCACTGCTGTGTAGCCTTGGCATTTATTCATTGTCACATGGTTTGAATATATCCAATATGCCTGTGTTTGAAAGAATGCATGTCCAGCTGTCAGCAGCACAAGAATTTACAAGTTTTAAAATGGTCCCATTTGAACCCAGCTGATCTGTACAGTTGCATGGAAGGTGGCATATTTTTCACTGACCATTCTTTCATAGCTTTCACCTGTGTGATGGAAGCCTGGCAAGAAGAATGTGTCCCTTTTATCTCATTTCTGCATTATCCCTAATTCTGATGGTCTGCAGCAGAGTGCTCAAATTGTCCACAAAGCCCTGGACTGAGTTATAAATGAAGGATTTATAGGATTATAAAGCTGGTGCTGGACTAAGTTATAAAGCATTAAGTCTAAACCATTAAAGAACTACTATGACATATTTTATTATTTTAATCATTCTAGCATGCATAAAGTTTCATTCCAGAAACTTTGTGTTATATCTGATTTGTGTATAACTCTGAAGAGGTTTGGGGGAAGAGCAGTGGGAGTAGGTACCTTAATTTCCTTTCTTTATGTCCCAAGAACTTGCCCATCTATTTTCTACACTTGTCCAAACACTAGATTCTCTGGAACTTTTGTTTAAGGACAATATTGGACATTTTCCCAGAGAAGCTGAGACTGCCTGATCCCTGGAAGTGCCCAAGGCCAGGTTGGATTGGGCTTGGAGCAACCTGGGATAGTGGAAGGTGTCCCTCATGGCACGGGATGGGACTGGATGGACTTTAAAGTCACTTCCAACCCAAACCATTCTGGGATTCTATGAACCTTGACTTTGGAAGGACTCCCAGTTATCTCTCCAGTTTCTTTCCTTTCCGTGTTATTACAAATCCATCCTTGTGGAAGTTAACTGGAGCAGTAGCAGAGGGGTGAGGTTAAATACAGACTAATACACATTACATTCTTAAGCCGTGTATGTTGGACTACATTTTTGGTTTGTACTACAGTGCTATTAAAGGAATAGCACTACTTGCCTCAGAGATCAGACAGCAGGACTTGATTCCTCACAGGTGTTTTACAAAGCTAAATTCTTCCTCAGAGGTGTTTTCATCCCTTGGAGAGAAAGTGATTTGTCTGTTTCTACACAGGGACATGCACGTGGGGGGAGGTGTGTACACCATAGAATGTACATGAACATTACAATGACACTGTCACCATCTCTGTAACTTCTTGCAGTGTATTTTGGGATCTCTACTGTGCAGCTCCAGAAAGACGAGAAACATGTGAACACTCAAGTGAAGCAAAAGCCTTCCATGACTATGTAAGTTTTGTGTCTTTATCTTTTTTGTTAGTTGCATATGATAAAATGTGTTGGAGAAGTATTTCTACATCAGAGTGGCTCAGAAACACGGGTGTCAGTCCTGTGTAAGTAATTCAGTTTTCTGGGAATTAGGCCTGCCTAATTCTTTGATTGTCAGCACAACACTGGTAACTCCTTGAAGCCATCTCAGAGGTCAAGGTGCTGTCCCAGGTGTTTCTGCGGAATAAAGAATGTCCTTCTGTGCATGGACGTGTCAGGCTGGTCACAAAGGCAAATGGAAGTATAGATGCGACCTGTCCAAATACCCAATTAGCTCTGCCAGTGCTAAAGAAAAGGCTGTTCAGCAGTTAGAATTGATCCCCTGGCTTCTGTCAGGACCCCACAGCCTAAGAGTGTGGTTTTTCAGATATTTTTGTATCCTGGAGTAACTCTTTTTCATCCTAATAAACAATTAAGCATCACAGAATTAGTTAAATGCAAAATCATGTGGTCCAAGAGAATGGGAGTATTAAAGGGCAGAAGTTTTATGCCAGCTTTGCTGCCTTTGAGACTTGGTTTAAAACCCAGCAGGAAGTTCGGTGGTGTTTTGAGGGAGAAAAATTCTCACAGTACAGTTGTGAAACCTCTCTCCTTGAGTCTTTACTAAGTCTGTCTTAGAAATATTTTCTAGGTACTGCTGAAATACATTTCTACAGATAAAACTGAAATCAGACCGACACAACTCAATGTCTTACAAACACAGATTTGCAACAACAGGAATGAATCAACCAAGCCATTACCATTTTCTTTTGTAATGGTTTGGTGTCTTACAGTATATAAGCTAATGGTGATCTTGCCTTATTTGTAGTAAACAACAGCTTATATTGTAAATGCACCACAGATCTGTTCAGCATATTTTACCAATGCCTCTTTAACACCCTGTACTTTGTTAAATTATGAGGGTAACCGTTAAAGGAGCTTGGACAACGTTGCACAGTCATGTCCAGGCTACGTTAATCCTTAGACATAATTAATGACAAAAAAAAAAGGTATCAGAGAAAGGAACAAAGTTTCAAGGAAGTTTTGCACCCACAGAGATGTTAAGGTCAGCCAACTTATTGAAACACATTCTCAAATTAGAAATTAAGTAACTCTTGCATATACAAGTGCTGTAATCATTTTTACCTGATCTATTTTAAATATAAAATTGTTGGAAAAGTAAAATATTTAGCTGTATGTTTTGAATCCTTGTTTCATTCCTCACAAGGAGCAATAGTTTTACAGGAGTACTTTAATACTGGGGAATGACAGTAGAGATTTAAATTTGGGGAGATCAGAATCCACAGCACAGTAGTTGACTTTAGTGGGGGACATTGTGCTCTCAAAAGGTACTGTGTTTAACAAAAGCCAAAAATTCAAAAACTGTAAATGTTGTGAAACAATTGTGAAACAGAATGATCAGCAAGAGGAGATTTTCAGTGAGAAAGTACTTGAAAGTCTAAAGAGGAGGTGAGTCCACAAATCTTTAAACTCAGGAGAGTTTCACTGATCAGCAAGTTCATTACTGAATTAAATTTTGAGGTATACTAAGCTTTTGAGTAAGTGAATGAAAATAGTGTAAAATCTAAGAAGTTGTCTTAGCATCACCCTTTATGGTTTCTAACTTGTACAGGTCTTGGACTATTATATGGCTTTACTGCTCAGTTCTGTTGCATTATGATGTGTATTATCATAGTTCAAGAAAAGTGAAAAAATACGAGTTCTGTGTGCAATACAATTTCGAGATTTCTGAATGTTTAGGTTAGTGTATGAAGTCGTGCTGGGGGAAAAAAAGATAAAATCGTGGCATGATTCTATGTGCACATCCAGACAGGATGTGTACTTATTTCAGAAATTAACTCACCAGTTATTTCTAAAAACCTTTCTCTCAATCTTTTAAGGTGGCAGGGAAAACTTTGCATTATTTTTGTCACAGTAGGGATAAACTCATTTAACATCCTGCAAGACTCTAGGTGTTCCTAAGCATCACCTGCTTTTTGCTTAGCAGGACAGTCTGCATCATATATTTGTGTGTAGTATTTTATGAGTGTATTGTATGCTCATGTTAAAGAATATGAAAAATCATTATAAAATACGGCCAAACAAATTTCACAGCAGAGGAAGATGAACATTTATTAAGTGAAATCCTGACCCATGTAGTGTTTTGCAACTGACTTCAGAGGGGTCAAAACTCCACCATCAGTGAAGACCCATCAGGAAGCTGCTTGTTGGATTCAGGCTTCTCCACAAGGTTGAGGGGTCTGGTAAATCAAAACCCTGCTGGTCACGTTGCAGGTCAAGTGGAGCATTTGCAGCAGTGCTGTCATATCTGAAGGCTATAATTGTAAGTACAAAACAGCACAGAAGGCTTGTTTATTAATTCATATGAGCAATTCAGAATTTTTTATTAGGCATGTGTTCCACTTGAGCTAAGAAAAGTCATTCCTGCTGAAGGGGTGTGTGGTCTGGATGCACCAGACATGTCATCTCTAACAGTGAGTGGGCTGTGTTAGCTGAGGGAATAATCTTTTCTGTCTTTGCCTTTGTGGAGAGAGAAAGGTTTGAGGATGTTTGATGGAGGAGGAAATCACTTGCAGATGATTTAATGGTTTGTGAACTATTGCTGCCTCCGAGTCAGTCAGGAACACATAGGTTGACTCATAGAATGAATATACATAAAAATGTAGTTTCTTTAACTTTATTTTAAAGTTCTACAGTATCTCAAGTGCAATTGTAAAAATAATGCCTTTTGAGTTCTCTGTCTCCTTCTCAGACAGCGCTTTGTTGCTTGCAGTGCTACAATGCTCATCTTACTAAAAATACAATAAATAGAAAAGCAAAGGCCTGTTCGGGCTTTATAGAGAAGATTTTCTATGCTCATTCCAAGTTTTTGGAATTTGCAGCTTCTCTGTGTTTGAAGTGGATTATATGTTTATTTTTTATTGAGATTTGCCATTGGATATATTTTGTTCTGAGTGAACAAGGTTCTGAGCTCATTAGGTACATTCATGAAATCTGTTTTAGGCTTGAAAAGAGGGATGCATGGATAGGTTCTGCCTGGAAGTTTTAACATATATGGCATAAAACTGGAAATGGTTTATGTTTCAGGTAACTCAGGAAAGAAGGCTGGTGCTTGCACACCCAGCTTCTAAATATTGCAGGTGTTTCAGTAGGAGTAGCTTTATTTGGAGGAGAAAAATCCCCATGATTATTTTCCAGGTTCCTGTTACTTTTCCTGGAGGAAAACTTCTCTACACTTCGAAGTCTTGTGAAAAATCACATACGTGAATGCTCTGAGGCAGAATTTAGTCTTTGCTGTAGAGTAGGTTTGTCTTTCTTCACAGTATCCTAAGGAGATCTCATCATCTCTCTAGTTCAGAGCTCGTTTTTCTAGGTTTTGAGATCTTCTGTTGAGAGAGGCGAGTTCCAATGTGCATCTTCTTCCACTTCTTCCCAACCTGAAAACTTAGTGAAAAGGGGAAATAAAACATAAACTGGATTTTTAACAGCACCTCTACTTCAGAAAACCACAATTGATCGGGCTCCTCTTCCTCAGGCTTCTCTTCCTTGAGCCTGACCACTTATTCACATCTATGGACCTTGCGTTTGGAGGGGTAATACCTGAAAAGTCCTTTCTTACAAGATGATTTCTGTGCATAACAGTTAAGATATTGTTACTGCCCAGAAGTTCCTGTGCCTGTCTCACCTTCTTGGCAGTGGAAGTTTTTTTCCGTGTGGCATTGGTGCATAGAAGGTATTTGCTGTTTCTAACGAGTAGCTATAGTCAAATGTTGATTATTTTCCAGGTGTGGTTTTTACTGGTATCTTCTCCATAGCTCCTTGAAAGACCACTCTTAGTATGAGCAGGGGTCTCTTGTTTGTGTTTATGTCTCCCAAAAGAGTGCCACGTCATTTATAGGATAAGAAAAAAGCGACATTCATTGTCCGAGAGACCATCCGGTCTCATGAGCTGGTACCACATTTCCATCTGACTTCTTAGCACAGTTTGTGGTGAGCTTTGTGACACAGAGTTGGGTTTGTGTGAAGGTTGTAGAGTGTATCAAAGGCAATGTTATAATCAGTTCTGTCCAGATTATGCCTTTTACAGGTTATAACTATATAAATCAATCTTTTCTAGAAGTTACTGAGCGTAATGTTTGGACATTTGAGATGGTTGACCAACCTGTTTGTGAGATTTTCTTAAGGAAAGTTGGGTGCCTGCATTTATTGCTGTGTTTTATGGGGAGAAAAATTACCACTTTCTTTCCTTTCTGTCTTCATTCAGCAGAACTAAAAAAGCACATGCATTCCCTAAATGCCCCAACCCCCCTTAATTAATCATTATCAGTACTTAGAATTTGAGGGATTATGAATATTTTTATGTCTGTTTTGGACTAAAGATTACCATGAAAAGCCTGTGTGACTATTTTCCCACAAGGACTGTTTTTTTTTCTAGTTTCATTAAACTTCTGTCTTCCCTCTCTACCTTTTGTTTATTGGGGATGGAAGAACTTGTTTTCACTTTTGGTTTTCTTGCCTTCCCCATCTCCTGCTGGAGAAGCCTAGTTAGGGCAGCTTCTGGGTCCTCACAGGTTTCTTGATGAAAATGGAATTCTAGATCTGTTTTCCAGCTGCCAGTTTCTGTGGAGAATGCACATTAAACTCCTTCTACTTAAAACAGAAATAAAAATTAAACCGCTGCTTTGCTCAGGACTGTTGTGCCAAAAGCAGTGCTGCTGGTCTGAGTAACCTATTAATTCCATACCTGAGTTCCACACAGATGTGCAAGACCCTTTACATGTTTACTGATCATCACTTAATCTGCAATTTCACCTTCAGAGTATGTTCTTCCAACATATGATTAATCTTGCTATGTAGAAATTACTTGTGTCCATGTAGACAGTGAGTTATTTCTTAAAACTGGAAGAAATTAAGTGACCATGGCATTCTTTTTGTAAGTAATATGAAAATAAAAAGCATTT